ATGTGTTTTCCATGACTGGAATACTGGTAAACTGTTTTCCAGGTTTCCAGGTTTTCCAGGATACGTGGGAACCCTGCTAATGGCCACTGTACTCTTACAATTAATTTGTGAATTATATACAGTGGTACATTTTCGGTTATTTAATCAAAAAAGTGGATGAAAATTAAAATCGAAACCCAAAGTAATAGTGAACTGTTGTACTGTAAGCTGTCATCACACTGTATTAACTCCACTTGGGATGCAAAGGGGACCCAGGGAAGTGTAATTATGTCCCACTCCTGTCTAGCTGCTGGTACTGCTAGAGTTTAATTAGCTCCATTCTCCTCACTACAGAGAGATTATGACCAGATGCCTCGAGGCCCAGCCCAGGTGGTTATTGAGACGAGACTTCAAAGAAAAAAAACATAGAATAATTTTTTGGTTCATTACTTTTGAAAGGAGTTCCTGGTGAGTTTAATAAATGTCACTGAGACAAGCCGGCCACCACGTGAGTGCACTCTTGAATTTCTTGGACTGATGGATTGGACTGTTATGACAATGAGACAGATTTCATAAAGCAGCTTCATTTTCTGATGGCAAAGTGAGCACATGGGCATATTGTGTGGGTAAACCCATGTAGACTCAGATTAGCCTTTTTCTGGCAGAACAGAGGTTCCCATCATGTTTTGGCGGACAGAAAAGTGTATTAATCGAATCAGTGCACGTCACAGAAAGTTGTGCCAAACTGAAGTATGTTAAATTAGGATTAAAGGGAAAAGGCAGGAATGAATACTGTGATTATCAACTGGAGGTTATAAGGGTTTCTTTGGCAAACATGCTGAGGACTTTATTAAAAATCAGTTGCTGCAGTGTGGCAAATATATATATATATTTTTTTTTTTTTCCTTTCCGAGTACTGTATGTACCAGGTCTGCAATGATACTCAGAGTGCTCTCAGGAAATAGCCACAGCCTCCCACTCTGAGCCTCACACTGACAAAAGCTCTCAAAGCCACCTCCCACCTCAGAATGGAAACATTACAACCGTAAACAGTGTCACAAACTCACCAGAGTGCTGTGTGACACAGTTCAGCCTGCTCTAAGCAGTGCGGGTGGTGACTGACTGATACACGTTTTCCCCCCGGGGCCTCACCACAGCTGAGACCACTCAGTGCTGCAAACCTGCCTGCAGATATTGGCAAGACTCCCTGCTGCAATTTGGTTGATAGTCAGACTACATATAGAGCGTGTCAGAATTAATAATTGTTTTGCATACTGATCTGAATATTTTAATCTTGTCCAATTAATTTCTTACTCCTGCTACTGTCATGATGCAACATACAAATGAATTGGTAGAGTTTTGTTCACTTACTGGAAAAGTAATCCACATGTAGAATCAACACAATTATCATATTGAGTGAAGTAAAACATTATTTAATATCTATGTTTTACCGTTGTTTTACCGTCATATTTTACACTTTTCCAGTGCTTTACTTGAAGTGGTGATCCATAAGAATATAAATTTGTGGTTTTAAGCACCAAAAATCATCTCATTGTAGTTTCAATCTCCTCTCTCAGGCTTCTCTCAAGAGCTTTCGTAACAACAGGTCGGTGAACCAATCAGAGGAGAGCCTCTGAGCCCATCTTGTGTTTTCTGAGTGATCTAATAAAAATATAGCAAATTTCAGGTAAACACTCAGAGAAACCAAATCCTGGAAGGCTGGAGGTGGTTGTGGGTGGGCTGGGCTTTGGACATGGCTGAGAGCAGTGACTGTTTCGTTGTGACATCACAAAGCTACAGCGGTCCTGACTGTTTGTTTTAAGGCAGTTTCTGAATGTGATCTGTGTGCATTTCTCTGTGGACTGAGCGCTTTCATACTTCATACAATATTGGACCTTTAATATTTTGAAAGAATAATGTTTGAATGTCTTAGTCTTTTGCACATTCTGTCAATTTAAATTTGGAATAATATTTTGGAGTATTTACAGTTCTTTTGAACATGGGATAACCTTTTTCAGAGAGAGAGAGTTTTATAATGGTCTAAATGTTGTATCAGAGGTTTGGGAAATTGATTACTTATTTAGAGGTCTAGAAATTTAGAGGATATTAAATATAATAATAGTATAAACAATAGCCACTGGCAACTTCTGCATGAATATAATTGTATCATTTAAAAATAGAGTCAGTCAAACCCCAGCAGATAATGTTTACTCACCAATGCACATTGTGAAACTCAGCTGATTGTCATTCCACGGATTTAGAATAATTAAAATATGTTCTGTATATAAAGAAAGGCCTCACTCCACATCAAGCTTCAGTGGATCCAGCAGGAGCAACAGCTGACCCCTGATAGATTCGACGTAGTGTTATATTTGCGGACAGAGACATCACAGCATAATACTCGTGCCCGCAGGAACTTTGAAATGAAAGCCAGTGTCCTGGTCTCCTGAGATGCTGTATCAGCAAGGACTCAGAAGAGCAGGAGGGGTGGGAGACACATTACAAGATAAACTCATATTGACACTTCTGGCAGAATTCATCATTTCTCTCCCGAACCACTTTTTCTCCGTTTGCAAACGGAGAAAAAGTGGTGAGCAGGATTTTCTTGTTCAGATATTTAGAATCATTTACAAACGTGAAGATGTCAATGTACTATGTTACTAGCAGATGTTGCAAAATAACTGTAAGAATACATCCAGTTGGTTATATTTTATTTTGCAGTGATTTTTAAGATTGCACTCTATTCAGATGTCAAAGGAAGAATCCATGTGCCATGCTTTTTTTCCTTCTCTCTCTCTTCTAATACAATATGTTGTTTTCTATTGTTATTCTCCTTTTTCTTTGGGTGTATTGGTATGAATCCCTTCGACCTTATATAATAAAGAAATAGATTCAGTCTTCAAAAAAAAAAAAAAAAAAAAACGATCTAAAAAAATCCATGTGTCATAATACGCCTGTAGGTGATGTATTTACCCTTCAGTACATCTTGCTGGGAGTCTCTTTTACATATTCATCGTCTTCGTGTCTACAGTTGTTTCCCCTCTCTGTTCATTTCTTTTCATTTAAAGGTCTGACCCTGTAAATTATTTCACACCTGAACAAACAGAAAACTGCAGTGAGATCTATGATTTATTTTCCCTTGCCTTGGTTTTATTTTGTGCTCTTCCTCTTGGAAACAACACCACACGCAGTGCTGTGTACCGTATAATCAGCCCCGCACATCCTAGCCTCCTTTCTGCTTATAAAAGAGGCCAGCTCTTTGAGTCCTGGCAGCCTTTTTACCCTGAGAAAGCTATAGAAACCACAACTCTCAGTAAATTATAAATACACCATAACCTTTCTGTCTGAGCCCAGCCTTTCATCAGCCCCCTGTAGTCAGATGGTACAGGGCAGGCTCAGCTATTGTGAGCTGCCCTGGCTAATTGTTAAACATGTTCTTGTCAATCAAGCCTATCCCAAATGGCAACTCCTCAGCCAGCACTACAATGAGCTGCCTGAGCCGCCAGCCTTAGAGGAGTAATTGCCGTCCATTCGCCAGAAGCCATCTCCATTCCATTAGCGGCTGTGCAATATGAATGGTTGAAGCTGGTTGTTGACTGCAGACCTATTCAAGCTTGTACATGTGCTGAATGGCCTTGTTTTCTGTGGCATGTGTTTCATTTCCACATAGACAGGCCAAACAGGGGGAGAGGTAATTGCATTTGTGACAGCATTGTGTTCCCAGACAGAGAGGCAGATTCTCTTCACTTCATGAGTCAGAAAGATACAGTAAATATTCACAAGAGACAGAGTCAATGAGGAGCATGTATGAGTGAGAACCAAAAGAAGTTCACTGTTACGCTATATCACACAGTTCAATAGAGTTGTTCTAACTTTATTTAGCTGCTGTAGCTGAATTGATCTCCCCCCACGAAGCTTGTCTAACTCAGTTGCATGGTTTGTTAGGTGCATATAAGCAGCTGTACTGAATAAGAAAACACCGTATAACCTTTTGGGGGGGGGCACATAATATATAATGCTGAGTTATCACTCTATGATAATGGCAAAGCAACCATCAGATAAAGACACAAGAGACTAGATGATTGTGTCATTATTTAAAAAAAAAAAACATGCTATTGATGTAGGAGAAAAGCCACTCTGTGTGGAATAATAAGAGGCTCTGAAATGGTCATCAACAACTATAAACGTCTCAAGCTTCAATAAAGCATCGCAGCAATCTGTAAACCAAGATCCATTCTCCGGCCCCGGTTCAAGTGCTTTTTCAAAGGCGGCCGACACTTCAGAGGTGTCGTTGAAGCCATCTCGAGATTTTGAAATGGATGTGGGGACGACGTTAAATGAAGGAGTGGGATCTTTCAAGCATTTCTCATTCCAATAAGCCCAAGGAGTGCGTTTAGATTCAGAACGGTTCCACTCGGCTGGAGAGAAACATTTTCTGAATTTAAACGCTAACCAATTCTTCAGCAAGCCCTTCGCTCACATGAAGCGTTAAATTCAACTCAAAGCAGCAGCAAAAGAGATTTACATTTTCCGTATACAGGATTTAGAGCCTTTGGGTTGGCTGAAGATTTTGCATTAAGGGGGTTTTTTCTTCCCCACTCCCATCTAAGAAATTTTGCAAAGTTTAATCATGGCTTCTGTTGACGCCCCTGGGTTTTGTATCTTAAGCTGTATCCCTCCAGCTGGGAAACATAAGAAAATTTCATCATAAGCTGTTCCAGTGTCTGACTATAGATTTCACAAATCATTCCTACGAGGACTCTAAATATTACCACTTCATATATGGGATTTGTAATTATGGCTTTTTGTGTGGTGTACAACTGCGCACACAACCCTCCAGCTTTGAGGGAATGCCTCATTGAAAACAAGCAATTCTCTGAGCAACTTCATCTTCTGCTTAATTTTAATTCAGTTTAAAAAAGGAAAAAAAAAAAAAAATCTACTTTCAAGTTGACTACCAAAATCCCCTTCTATTTTGAAATCATTTTACCAGCAGCATGGGTAATAATCGTGGGCCTTACCCGCATGCCCAGCTCGATGTTCTCGCCTCCGTAGACCTCCATGCCAGGATCCAGCAGACCAATCTCGCCAAAGTATTCCCGATCTACCACAAACGAGCAGCCAATCATAGCTGGAGTTCTGGATGAGCAGAGAGAGACAGCATCTTTTGAATATTATTATTCAGCGACTAAATATTTATACAACTAGAGAGAAGGCCTGACATATTCATTGCAATCAAGGTGAGGATTTCTGAATCAGCTTGGAAAAATATCATCAAGCATTAGTTGCAGCATGTTTTCATAGTAATGTGTTACAAGACAGTTTTACCATTCAATCAACTTAATGATAATGTTCAGATATGATACAACTGCTTTGCTTTTTGGTTTAAAAACTTGCAACTTGTATATTTATGCACTGAGAAGCTGGATATTAATATGGTAAAACGAAGCATCTTTGAACCACTTATCAAGACTGAAAAGCTGGAAATAAAATGGGATTTTTAAGTTTGCTGAAACTGTGGTTAATGCATATGTGCAACATACAGAGACTCTTGTCTGGTTCAGTTGCTTTAGAACAGACTCCACAGTCTTATACAAAGTTAAGATATAACCCGTATGGTGAAGAGATTGTGCTGGAGTTATCAACCTCTCAGTATTCTTTGTGCTTCCCACTTAGACCTTAGTGGCTCTACACTTTGACAGAATGACAATGTTGAAATGTAAGAAGGATGAATGAATGAAAACAACATAAATTTATCATCAGCTCAGTGTAATTTAAAATGCAGCCACTGTAATTGAGACAGAACTGTCTTTTATCCCATCACAATGAACTGGATGGGGGTGGGTGGGGGGAAATGGCTTTCTATGTATCAAGCCTGCCAATCTCCTGTTGCCACTTGAGGATGCCAAGTTGTATTACAGCTTTAAAGCAGCGTATTACCACCTTATACCCCATTCAGTTCGACACACTCACATTGGGGTCTATCTGTATGTGCCAACCCGATTCAACTGACCCTCCTTCATGAGCCTTTACTGGACACAGGCAGGATGCTGCCCGGCTTTAGTGAACTGAGGTTGTCAGGAGGAATGGAAATGAATTAAAAGACACCAACATTTTATGGTCATTTGACCATACCATGTGATAGAGAGAGAGAGAAATAGCCCACGAGTGGGTGATCAAGGGAGAGCGAGCAGAAAAACAGAGTTGTGAAAATGACACTTAACTTTCATCTGGTAAATTATTCAATATAAATTGGTTTAATTCTGAAGTTTATTAGTGAAGTGTTTGAAACTACACTGCAGACTGGAGTCGACTATTTACACATTCAGCAGATATGGAGCAACATTAGCATTAATTTGGAGTCAATATGCTGTAAGTCACTATCATCATGTTCAGCTCTGGTTTGGTTTCCACGAAGTCCTGAGAGAAACATGTCTCTTTAGCTGCTAAATGCTGTACTATTTCTATTAGCTAATGGCTGACTTTGTGTGTCTGTTGTAAGATGCTGGGCAGGTAGTGTCCAGAGGTTTATGAGAGCTTTTTTTTTTTTTTTTTACAGAAAACAGCTGCTGCTGGAGACAATGAATGGAAGTGGTGAGAATAAAAGAAATCTTAAAGTTTTAATGATCATTTTTAGATGTTTTAGATATTAAAACGCTCTGTATCACTGAGGGGAACTGCAGAGGTGGAGGATACAGTAATACATAGCAGGTTCATCACTATGAGCTACAGCTTTTGTATTAGTGCAGCTTTAATATTTAGATTACATAAAACTACTATAGAGTATAAAACAGCCATATTCCCCACCCAGCCCTGTACAACAATCCAGAATGGTATGTTAACTGTAAATGTCAGATTTAGCAGAATCACCTAAAAATACTTTTAAAACTTAAAACTTAAAACCTGCCCAAGCCCAGCTGACATAGCAAGAGAGTGTTTTTCACAAAAGCCAGTGGTTACTTTCCACCTTTACTAAAAGAAATGGTTCCACTTTAGCTGCTGTCCCCTCAGGGCTGCTTTTCAGTACTGTTATCTGTCACGTCCTAAGTGCTCTGGGACAAAGCCCCACAAAAGCATTACATTCATATAGAGTACTAAGATGCGTTATTTTTTTCCCTTAAGTGACCAATGAGTGGCTTTATTCTTCTTTCTGGAATGACAACCAAGGTAACTTCACCGTATACAGTACTATCTCACACGCACACAGAGAGAGAGAGAGAGAGAGAGAGAGAGACAGAGAGAGAGAGAGAGAGAGAGAGAGAGAGAGAGAGACGCAAGAGGCAAATGTGTCTGCTACTTCAGTTTGAGAGACATGTCAGTAGGAAGTACTATTAAGTGGGAGCTGCATTATGATTCATTGACTCTGTATTAAGAGAGTGCACTGAGCCGTACAGGGTGTGAGCCAACAAGAAAGGTGCTTTTAGGTTCAGAACCCATATAAAACACTGTCTCATCACCATGGAGTATTATTTTGAAAATCCTGGATCAGTAGTAAAATAAAACTGATGCAGAGGTGCATGTAAACCCTCCTGAACCATTATATTTCAAAGGAAAGCTTTCCCACCATTATAGCTGACATAAATCTTTATGGCTTGACATTTATAGCATGTGTCAATTGGTGTAAAATGCTCGAAAAGGACATTTTAAAGAAACAAGACTGTGATAGAATGACTGATTTACACTAGCCTGACATCTAACAATTTGTAGTCTTTGCTATTAATAGCCAATAATTCTAAACGCCTTTGTTCCTCACTGAAAAGTAGCTTAAAATTATTCATGTTTGCTTGCAATATATACTCTTATTGCATGATGTAGCCTTATACAGTCTTGTTTAAATTATAAGCTGATCTCAGGGAAACTTTCAAGTGCCATTATTTGCACTGGCTGTGCACATAAAAAGACCGACACAGCACACACTCAGCCCCGGTTCACCTCATCCTTTCTCCTCTCTTGACAAGTGACCTACCTTTCCTGTCTGCAAACTTTGTGCAGCTCTCTTGAGTGCTCCCACTAGAAAAAAAAAGCTTCCTAGCAATGTAAACACTGTTTCTGTGATTAAGTCCAGACTCAGCAGCTCAAGTCAGATGCAAGTGATGATGACGCTAAAACCTCTGGCTGACCACATAAGATACAATGCTGTAAAAGTAACATGCTCACATTTGTAGTATTAATAGTTTAAGACCCCCTCCGGTGAAAATCAAGTGTTTAAACTTGTTAACATGTCCAGAGTCTCTCTGATGTTTCCTCCTCTAACCATCTTCATACTCTCTTGTCAATACAGAGAGCAAGAGTTAGCGTTAGCACAGCCACTCACACCGTGTCAGCCACTGCCAAGATGACAAATTTAATAAACAAATAACTATATTTACTGTTCTGATACGTCTTCTAGTCGCCGATTCTGGTGCACAGCAAACTCCTCACTCCTCAACAAACACCCATGTCTAGGTCTGACTGAGGCTCAAACATGTGGCTGAGTCTCTCTGACGCTTCCTCCGCTAATCGTATTGATACGCTCTGTTTCACCTGTCAACCTAAAGCAAACAGTGGTGGTGGGCGGGGCACAAGGCCTGATCCAGAACTTCTCAATGAGAAAGTAAGTGTAGATGTGCTTCTAGCCCCTGTTTTCCTTTTTTTCCCACTTTTGTGCAGGAAAACTATGTTAAAAAAAATAATAATAATAGAGTATTTTTTACATAGTGTAAAACATGTCTGGAGAGGAACTTTTGACTTTTAAAACTTGAGTTTTAAGTGAGAAAAGAGTAACTTATGGCAAAGTTTGGCGCTGCTCTCATTTGTATGGTGTGCGATGTAATCAAACAGGCAATATCAAGGCATGAAAAATTAATTCCCCTCCTAGAGCCAATTAACTGAATCCAATTAAATGAATAATTATAGCCAGCTGTTCCTCCAAACATGCACAAAATAGAGAGGCTGAATACTATACAGGTCCAGTTTTGGTTTCAAGTATCAAACAGCAATGGTTTAATTCCTGATGTTCAACAATTGAGAGAGAGAAATCAGTCATAGAAGAGACAGATATATCAACCTCTTTTCATCGACTTAAACAGGAAGTTTCAATGCACCTAGTTTCTACTCTGTGTGACCCTGCCATCATGAGTGAAACACAACAGTCTCCAGCGGCTTTTTTGTAATATTTAGTAAGTGGGAATGGCACACCGAGCAATTGTTCTCTCTCCATCACCTTTTTCTCACCTGCACTGTTGTTCTGGTTTTTTGTACTTACATGCACACAGCACACAGACTCACATCCCTGAGGTTTGTCAAACGGCAGCTTGAAAGAAAGTGTGCAAACGACGCACAACACAAACAACAAGAGGAACTTATAACGGCTTGTCACAAAATAACTTCTAGTTGTTATTAGAGATGGCAGATTGCTGTTGGAATCTTGCATAGGGTTTCTCATTTGATGTCAGTAGGTTTCGTTATTTTTAGTGTACAGATGGTCAGCCTGCAGGCTCATCCGCCCCTCGCACCCTTTAACTTTGTCCCCCAGATCATTTGCTTGCAGTATGAACATCTGATACATGCATGCATTCTGGCAAGATCGTTTATTTTTCTCCCAGATGAAGACATTGCTGTTGAAACTGTTTTTTTGAGCCGGACATCTGGCTTTTCTGTGACCTCTCATTCAAAACAGTATGACAGACCAGATGCTTCATGGAAGGTATGAGAGGAAAATACAAGACATATTGATGAAACTGAAGTAGTTTTACAAGACTACAATGAAACTGGAGTCACTGGACTTATAATCTAAAAGTAGAAAACTTCACATATTTGACATATGTGTATTTTATTCTTTTATGCAGTAGAGCCTTGTTAGATGTCTCATTTGCTGGTTTATACTAAACCTCTTATGTAAGGGAAAGCTAATACTCATCCTTGGTCTCCCTACTTCATGTTCATTTACTGTACTTAAATGCATTCACATCTGTGTGATCGTCTTCAAGCATCTGCTTAAGAAAGATGCTCAGACTGAAGTATCTTCCTCAAGCACACATTAACAATAAGTGAATAAAGTACTGCACAAAAAAAGAAGAATGCAATTTAATAGTGTCTAATACTCTAGATTTTCTTTGTCTGAAGGTGATTGAAACTGCATCTCAAGAAATCATATAGCTTATGAAATGCAAGACATCCTTATCAACCATTTCTTCAAAAGAAATGTGATTTTGGTTTAAGAGGTGGCCATTTCCAAACCTCCCTATTCTGTCTTTTCTATAATTGGCTAGTTCCCAAAAAGAAAAGAAAAAAAACCACTCTTTTTTTCCATCAGATCTCTAAAATTGTTGCAATCTTCTGTACTCCCAGAATGTGGGACATTTGTGCCTTCTTTCCTCCTTTTACTCTCTTTCTTGTTAAATATGTCCAAACAGCTAGAAAAGGCTTTAAGACTGTGCTATGAATGGCCACAAAGCTTCTGTTGTTGATGGGCAGAAACCTTGAGGAAATAAGCGGGAGAATGATTTCCAATAGAAATCCGCACATCCGACACACTTCAGCCGGGCCTTGAGGCGATCCTGTCCATTTGCAGCAAAGTGTCAACAGGGAAACACAAACCAGCTCTGCAGTGTCTGAGGCTTTTCTCTTATCTTTCTCCGATCTCAAGTCCAGCACTTGATGCTCAATAATACATGATTTTCATGGAGCTTTGACAAGACATCCAATATTTAGGCCCACAGTAAAAACTGCCACCACATTATTTGTTTGTGTGAGACACCCTGTATCAAATAAAACTGTTATTGCTTTGCCTATGCTAGAACAAGCAAGGCAATGAAACTGAATTCAGTTTTTGTAGTCCTTGGTCAAAACACAACAGTATGTGTGAATGTTTTAGTTTAAAGTAGTAAGGTATCTTTGGACATTCTGGCAGTGTTCATGTTTGCAGCGTGGTTAAAAAAAAAAAAAAAAAATGAAAAGCCAAGGCATTAAGTGATGAAAACCAACAAATCTACCTTATTCTGATGGAGCAACTGTTCCTTTTCCAATGGGGTTAGAGTCAACTGGCAGAGCTACTATCTATTTCAAAGAATCAACCCTAAAATACTGCAGACCTTTGAACAGCCATCAGCCAGTGTGCAGCCTCAGATCGTCAGGCAGGCTCATGCCCTTCCGACGTCTAATCTTAATACTGAAGTTGATCAGGCTTTTGGCTCCAGAGCAACCTGGCAGAGGAGCTACAGTATCTACTTTACTGATGTGACTGCTTTTACTTTTAATTTCACTATGAGTGTTTATGCTCTCTATGCTTGTCCTTGACCTTTTGGTGATGCATTTTAACTTGTCTTAATTAATCTGAATGTGATGTTGATGAGTTTTTTTGATTGTTAATTAATGTTTAAAAGTCTGATTAAGAGTGTTAATGAAGTTCAAACAAAGCTCTTATTATGACTTGCAAACACTGAATAAACAACATTTTAGGGACCTTTTGCTGATATTGAGATGCAGCCCTGCTGGTAAGTTCCACGTCTCAGTCGTCTCTAAACTCTTCCCTCACTTAACTGCTTGTCTTTATGATAGCTGGGTAGATAGATAGTCTTTCCTTTAACTAGATTAACTTGTGTTCAGGGCATATCTCAGCTGTTTCTGCTGCACTGAAATGTTCTTAAAATCTTCTTGAACAAGACAGAGAAAGCTGATGGAGGCTGCTGTTGCTGCACCTGACCCCTGAACTCTCTGAGAAGGACAGATAATGTGTTATTATCCATGGTTCCTAAAAACATGTTGAACCTATTGGGTCCTGACAAACCAAGCTGACTATGGGCTGCTGGCCACCTTTGGCTATCATTTACCTTCTGTTGCCAAGTAAAGAAGTTTAGGTAGGAATATTATTTATTTTTCGAGTAAAAACATTCTGGTATGAAACCTTTCACATGCCAGGATGTTTTATCTTCAGGCCTGAATTCAGGATAAGATTTATAGCATTTGAATTGCAGAAGCAATGCACCAAGCCCACACCAGCATTTGTAATCCAGCAGTGTCATGAATATGGAAAAGATGAAAACCAATAGCTGAGTACCTCATGCTGGCTCTGGCTTGACCTCATACTCTTGGCTCCTGCAATGGCTTCACAACATTAAAGCAAACAACTATAGGTGCAGTTCCTCCATCTGAAGTAGTATTTGAAATGTTCAGTTGGTGTCCTTCAAGTCTTTAAATGCCCATACCACATGATGCCTCTTTCATGATATTTCATACATTTTCACAGTGCTATTCGTTTCCTTGCATGTCTCACTGAGACCAATGAATTTATGCATTTCATCAGTGGGATCACAGCGAGGAGAGAGAGTTAACCCTGAACCTGGGAGGCAGCTTCAATGTTTGTTAAAGGACATTTTAATAAGCACAACCACATTTGCTATGTGCATAGACTGATCTTTGTCTGTTTTCTTGTTCATATTTTGCTCATATTTATTCTAGACTGGAGCCCAGTCAAATATACTGAATGCTAAAGAATATCAATAAAAGATATTCACATCCATTTTTGTAGCTACACCCCTCTTGTTGGTTTTGAACATCTTCCAGTTTCTGCCGTCTCCTTGTCTCTCTCTTGTTGCCTTCATGTTCGTGCAGGGTCAAACACGCTGCCGTGGCAACAAAATCATGGTAATCTTCTCTGTCAAATGATGTGAGATTTTCCTATTGTCAAGGCAGTGCTGAGCAATTCTGATGTGAGCATTCAAAGAGAAGATGATGGTGGGCTGCATGCCTCACTATCTGATACTGTAGCACACAATGAAAATGTGACTCTTAGCCTTTCACTGTTTACACAGATTAGAAAGGATCTGCAAAGACCAGCAAATCAGTGACTCTGATAATATTCATCTTTATTTACTGTTTTTATACTGTTTTCTTATGATGCTTTTTACTTCTACTTTTTATGCTTCTTTTATTTCCATTAAGCAGATTGAATAACCTTCATGAATGATAATGTGCTATACAAGTAAATTTGCCTTGTCTTGCCTACGCACATGAAACTGGATGTAATCACGTTTCCTGTGTAGTAAGACTTTTAGGTTTCTGTCACAGGAGAACCTTTAACGTTAAGCTCATGTCCACGGATTCGCTTTAACTATGTGGACTCAACAGATGTTGATTGGAATATAAAACCATTATCATGCAGTACAAACCTCCTGTGCTCTTTCTCAGCTCATTAAAATGACAGGCTTTTAGAGACAGGACTTTTATTCCTAATTGTCTGTGTTTTTATGAGACTAACTGATCATATTCATCAAATGATGTTGAGATTCATACAGACAGAAGCTTAACAGCAATTGAAAAAAGTAGAGGTGATGGGACTTGATTGATGGTTGAGAGAAAAGTATTTCTATAATAATAATAATAATAATAATAATAATAATATTGAAATATTATAATATATTAATGAAAATGGAAACTCGTGCTGTGGAAATATACATTAATACTGATTTTTTTGTTGTTGTTGATGGGAGCAAACCTGTAATCTTATTTTACATGATATTCTTTGCACCTATAAGGTCACTGTTTTATTATTAGATATTTTACAGCAGATACTGTAACCAGAAGTTCTAACTACATTTCCAGTGTCGGTTGGTTGGTCTCAGTCACAGGAGAACTGTTACAGGTGAACCGAAACGCTTTAATAGTAAGCTCATGGCCACAGTTAATACATTCAATTTAACTACATGTATTTTGTAGTTAGTGTTACTTCAGACTGAATATAAGAACATTTCCATGCAACACAATTACTCCTGTGCTCTTTTTCAGTCTATTCAAATCCAATATGATTTTTACCAAGGACGCACATAACCAATTTGAGGATTATACAGAAACATGATCCAAGCCCGTGCTTTCCTCCAAACAGCAGTGGTATAATGGAATGCTCGGCTCATATTCAACACACAATTACACTAATGACACCGCATGGCTGTGGCCTCGTGACCCTGCATCAAAATGAAGATATTCTTCATGGTAATTAGACAGCTTTCTACGAGGAGGCTTTATTTGTGTGTTTGGGTGGCACAGTGGAGCACAGAGCACCTTAGTTAGACAGTTCCACACATGAATAAGTCATATCCTGGGGCTATACATATTTCATCAAACATCCTCATCTATAATGAACGATGTTCACTAACCGAGGTCCTCACCTGATAGGGGCTGTCTCATCGCCCTTGTCCAGCCACTCCTGGGGAGGGATGATGTACATACACCACAGCCCCCAGTTGTAGCCGTGAGCGGCGTTGGCGTACTGCTGCACCTCAAACGTGTTGTATTTGATGTTGTCGATGGCAGGCAGGATGATGCGGGTGTGGTCCTCCTTCATCCGGGTCAGGATAGGTTCAGCCCTTTCGATTACAAAAGAGACAGAAGTTAAGAGCGGACACTCCTGAAGTCTAGTAAGTAGAAGCAGAAGCTTCACAGCACAGTTGCAGAAGGTGAAAAAAGAAAGTTAGAGGAGAACAGTCTGCCACGGGGCAAATATAAAGCTGTGCATATTTTCATTCTGCCCTGTAAAGTTTTCAAGTATTAATATTGCAACAACGTTAGAAAAAATTGGTCGAGAATGACCCGATGGATAATGTAACTGAGTGTAAATGTAAAATGAAAAGTGTGAGTGGGGTTTCACAGAAACTATGTCCAGGAATTCAACTCAAATATTTGAAAACATGTTGAAGAGAAAGGTATTTACTGCAAATCCTGATTACACAAAACGATGCCAGGAGCAGCGATGGATGACTGCATACATCATCTCAACTTTCACTGTAGCGCCACATTTACATGGGCTTTCAGCGATGATGCAGTCTGTCCAATCTGCATTTATTCAACGTTCAAAGCGACTGCCAGGATCCGCTCCCCTCCACTGTCTATGATGCAAAATTCTTGCAAAATGAATTTTCCGCGGAACAACAAATAATATCATATCATATTTTATATCTCTGGCTCATGAAAACGAAATGTCAAAATGTGACACTTTTCCAGCTGAGGAACTTGATAAGAAGTAAAACCTGATAAAGCAAAACAAATCAGGTGAAAAGAGAGGCTTACTCTGCTCCCAGGGAAAGCGATCCACTCTCTCTCTTTTTTATCTGGGAGTGAAGGGTTGCGTGTTAGGTTCTGAAACAGCCTTCGCACCGTTTTCATCTCATGGCTTTTGCTCAGGGGCTGCTTGGCCGGGACACGTTCTTTTCGAGCAGATCAAATAGAGGGCAGGAGCCATATTCACCAAACATCTGAAGGCTAAGAGTGGCTCTTAACGGGCCAGTTTAGGAGAAACTCCTCAAAGTTATGGGCGCGTCAGTCCTAACATTAATACTTTGATGAAAGTTTTTTGTCTCAGTTCATAGCGCATTTTAGCACCAGCTCCTGAATGTGTGGGAAGTTTGGGGTAGTGGAGAGAACTCATAAGTCACTAAGAACAAACCACAAACAGTCCTGAAATTGGCCTCTGCAGGAAGTCAGTCTACTAACTGGGTCAATACTGCTAGAAGATTTAAAGACATTAACCTTTAGAGAGTGAATGTATAAAACCTGTTTGAGTATGTTGATGAGAGCAGAGCTAGTTACAGTATGCAGCACTCTAGCCGCTAGGTAGAATTAGACTTTACATCAAACAGTACAGCCTTTATCGGGATGCCACAGTCCAGCAGTTCATTCTTTATAGATTTACACCAGCTATAAAGAAGCAGCACTGTGGCCATCAGTGGATGATGATTATGCTGACAGCAGAGAATGTAATTTATTCCCAGCCTCCAATTAACTGCCAACACTGATTTCTCTCAAACAGAAGTTCAACATTTTTATTTCCTTTTTAGTTGAGTGATGTATCTTGTTTATTAAATCGGTACACATACAGAAATTTAGAGGAAAAAAGAAAACTGCACTTTTATGGGCTATTTGTAAATTTCCTCTGCCGCCGAACGTGGTTTCTTGCCGGGAACAGGTTGTGGTGATTGTCACTTGACAAGAGCTTCTGCCATTGTTCCGTTTGCAAGACAAGAGGTTATAATACGCGCTCTGAGCAATGCAACATCTTCAGGGCAGACTGGAGGCTACAGTGAGTCGCTATCATAAAGTGATGAGACGGGCCGGGGCTAGCTGGTTAGCGTGCAAACTTCAGTAGAATAAAAGACGTGATAGAGACAAGAGTTAACATCGGCGTTGCCTTTCACTGCAGGAGACAGCTCATGGTGAGTAGAGGGATGAAGTTTGATGCAGAACTTGTAACTTTCTTTTAGACTGGTAAGTAAACATCTGTTAAGGGTAACGTTGGCTATGAAGCAATAGCAAAGCTTGCAAATTGCTCCTGTAACTCCGACATGAATGCATTAGGTTATTCATCTTTGCACCTCTATTGGCAAGAACCTGAATTGCTTACCCAAAAGTTGAACTAAACTTTTAACTCTGAAGTCAATCTTTCCCTAAACTTAGATCTTTGAGCTCCATTTTTGTCCTGAAACTAAAAACACATCAGTGAGCCACATTGTTGCACTGGCAACATGTCGTTCTAATACGATGAACATGGAAACTGTACATTGTCCTGCTACCATAAATACTCACTAGTGCAGCATGACAAAGTGAAACCCAACAAATGTACTACTGACTCTTGTTTGAGTAATATTTGAACTACGGTGTCCAGCTGTTTTAGGAAATGACTTAAAAATTAAATCATGTCCTGTGTTTGTGACTTGTTTTACGTGTTAACTTGCAAAGTACTGAAAGATGGACCTACACACTGTTTTGGATGTTTTCTTATTTCCATCCTTATCCTTTAACCCAGCTATTTAATATGCCATAAACTAGAAAAATATAAAGTAGGCTAATGCTGTGTCTTCAAATTGGCAATGTGAGCAACAGTACAGTGTGAACAGTTTCAGTCCTTCCTCTCACCTCGCCTACATCCTCACACTTGCAGGAGATCGGTATAGACCTACCTATTTCAACATGCAAGTTTATAAAATCTTGTTTTTAGCCCAACACCTTTTGAGGACTGTATTTTCCAATAATAACCACTGGTGTATATTATTTATGATGAATACACAAACCAAACCTCTCATCCAATCATAAGATCATAAGATTATCCAAAGCAAACGTATCGACCCACCTTTATTAGCTCTTAGCTTTAGAGGTCTCTCCATTCCTCACAGTAATGGCTGCTCTCTGTGGTTTTGTTAACATGTCTTATGGTGAAACACTGAGCCACTGTAGCAACTTTATTTCCAATTAGGCTGACTTACTGGTAAGACAATATATTCCTGTTTTTTGGTACCAGTGTCTCTTGGTCACTGGAGTGGTTTTAAGACGACACCACATACAGGAAGCTCCCTTTGCTATTTAAAGCCCTGGCTAAGGAAGACATGGTGTTGAGATCCATATGGTAGAGAACGAAGCTGAAGCGCTGCTGGCACTGGCTACATTTGTATAATCTTCCTCACGCTGAGAGATGATCTCCACCATATCTTCAAAGCAACTCTTCACACGCTCAATTCTTCACATGATATACTTCTAAAAAAGAGGCTGCAATTATAAAATGATAAATGTATCTCTCAAGAATACTCCCACACTCCAACTTTCTCTCTATCTCCCCACCCACTGACTCTCTTCCTCTATGTCTTTGCCCTGATTCCTGCCCCCCTCTCCCTCCCCCTCTCTCTCCCCCATCTACTTCTCCTCAAAAAGTGAAACCCATTTATCTTCAAAAAGCAAATTACTACTTATCACATGAAGGTAGGGGACAGAAAGTACAGAGAGAACAGATCCAAATTGAACTATATGGGATGATGTTGGTAAAATATGAAGCTTAGGAAATATGAGTACTTAGAAAAAGCCATCATTTAATAGTGGTTGGTACGACAGCTGCGATTCTGAGAGGCAGGTAGATGGGGCTTTGTGTCAAAAGCCATGTTAACTGTTATTATTTGTAGCCTTGTTGATTACCAAAGCTGTGGGTAAAACAAAGGTGAGTAACTAGGCAAACACCAGTCAGGATCATGCAAGCCTCTCACATTTAAATGAAAAGTTGGACATTTTGGGATATTCTTGGGCTCTGTACAGATTAAACAAACACCACACATGTGAATTAGTGAGCTTTAGAGGGGCAGGAGGGTGGAGTTATTTTTTATTTCATGCTAAGATATGCTAACCGCCTGATGGTTTCAGCTTTATATTTATCGAGTGGTATAAGAGTGGTATCAATCTTCTCATTTCACTGTGTGTAAAAAAAGTCAATAAGCATATTTCCCAAAATGGGTTATTCCTTACAAATATGACAGAGGGAGCTTGTGGCCTGTCACATGTTAAACATACACTCACAGCAATGTGTAAATTCATATATATGCTTATTATTGAGGTCATAGTTAAAGGTTCTGGACTGTATTACACTGAGAGATGGTTCTAGTTTTGCTTTTCATACACACGTACCTAAGGAAGGAGGAACATTACAAACACCTTTCGATGGTAGAGGTGTACCTAATAAAGATGCCACTGAGAGTATAATCATCAAAAAGACTCTGATGTCTTCGTTTGCAAATCAACAATAAACCAATTGCGTTTGTTTCCTTTAAAATTTAATCAAATTACATATTTACACTGCAAAAGCCATGGGTTGCAAACTTGCTCATTTATAATCACTAGCTAGCAAGTAACGATGCCTATAGGGACACACCCATGGCTGTATTATAGGAACCTGATACCAGACTCCAAAATGACACACATTCACTGTAATCAAACGTTTCTCTGCTTCTTGGTTTGCTTTGGCCTTGTGCACTGACTGCATGTTAGTGTTTCTCTTGTTGGTCATTTCTGCTTGGACCTTGGATCTTCTGCTTGCACACTTTAAAATCAATTCTCTAGGCTCTGGGAATGTTTTACAAATAAAAAAGTAGGCTCAGTAGTTTAAAAACAAGTGACCTTGTTTGCAGTACAAGGTGTCCGTGTCAAATATTTAACAGGCATCTTTTTGTATAATTATGTGTTTTTTTGGCAGCAGGGGATTTTTTTTCGCTGCAGTACTGTAAGTGACCACTGGGACAAATTGGCATTGAGGCTGAGTGGTGGTGCTGTATCCAGCTCTCTTAATACATCCATGCTTACACAGCATTTTGACATCCTTTTTATTCCCAAAGCCTGTGTCATAACACATTTCACACTAGTGTTTTGAGACTGAGTAGCTTCCGTATTTACACAGACTCCCTTCATCTGTCAAAATGGGGAGATGGCTGACTGTGATAACCCAAACATCCATACTCTCACTGACAACGAAAACACAGTCATTTCGACTTCCGCAGTTATGCCAATGCCACTAGAGAGCACAACACATAAATCAGCTGGCTGATTAGTCCATATGAAA